AATAGAAAATGGAGAAATGGGTTAAGTTCGCCCTCATAGTGCAGTTTCCTTAAACCATTCCTAGTTTTCTTTATTTCCCAGCACCAAATATAGAAGATATTCTACCATTTTTTGAAATAGTTAATACAAATCCGGATTTGCCTGTGCAAAATGAAGAAATGAAAAACAGGAGTTTTGGGAGTCCAAATCAATCTTTTGGGAGCTTTGAAAGTACTACAGATAGACCATGGAGTAGTATGGAAAGCAATGACGTTTTTGAGATTGAAAGCCCTTATCAAAATGGGGCAAAAGAAAAACGAAGATATTTCCGATTGTCAAGTAAAGGATCAAATGAAAGTAAAAGCAGCAGAATATCATCTGGGTCATTTGGAAGCAAAGGTAGCATTGATGAGCCTGGACAATTGAGTAAGTACAAGGACATTCACTTTATTGGTTTCATGTAATAAAACATAAAAAAGATGACAAGAAAATTATTTGCAAAAATTGATTGGTAATAATGATTTTAAATTTCGTGTGATAATTATCTTGTAAAATATTTTGACAAAGTTTGTAGTCATCCCTATTCTCTAGAGATCTCTAAATAAATTTACAATGAAAGGAAGTTATTTCAAATCAATGTGTCAAAGCAATGGTATTTAACCAAACAAAAAAATTTCATCTAGTAATTGAAAGATGAATAGAGGCGAACCTAGAAACAAACATATCCCCAAATTACTCATCTGCCAAAGATGTCATTGTAGATGGGCAAATAAAAAAGCTCTTAAATAGCCTCAGGGGAATTTCAATAAACCCTATTTCAATTTGCTGATCAAAAACCATACCTGTGCCCAGTTTCATCTTGTAATTACAAAATGCATGTTTGCTCTGAGAAGTGCTAAATCTGTCTCCACTATAGGTATTTATCTCAGCAAACTACCCTAAAACCTTAAAATTCTTAACAATTATTCACTGAGGTGTAACACATTGGTTAAAGTTGTCATGTTTCTTTTTCTGAGGTGTTGATAGTTTGCTCAGATCTCTACCCACTAAAGTACGCAGAAAACTTTGTGATGCATTGGATTGCAAGACAGTCTTCTATTCACAATTTTCAGCTTTGCCCACCCAAAAAGTTAACTCCCACTGCGCCCCTGAGTATAAGGTAAAAAAACCAAGCATTAATGACTTCAAGATTTCTTGCTAGTGCTAAATCCAAAAACAAGACCCTCCTTTGGTTAAATTGTACCTTGTATCGAATTACTACAATTCACAAGGAGCTCCATACCTTTTTATATGCAAAAGGAAATATCAAGATGGGAAGATGGGTCAATTGACAATTAGTGCTGCTGATAACCTGGCTTTAGAAGCGGCCAAAAAATTATATTTTCAAAACCATGTTGTTTTTATCTGCAAAATTGTAAGGTAAAGGTTTGTCCCATATTTGATATTGAAGACTGGGGAATACGCTGTTGGGGGCGCATCGTCCTGGGCCATGGCATTGTGTGGTGGGATGGTCAATTCCTTTCCATGCTGCTTTTTACCTCCCTAGTATGTTTGAACTAGGTACTCATTTTCAGCTGAGTGAACTGAGGGCCGTCCGCAACCGGAGATTGAACCTGGAGCTCGGGCATGGCATTTGAGCCCCTTAACCACTCTTCTACCACGGCACCCTCAATCTTACCTGCTCTCTTTTTCTGCTGTTGGTTTCTGCGAAGAATCTTCACTATGGTTTGGAGAATTGCTTTAGAAAAATTGCTTAAAAGAGTGAATTTGCTAGCGAACTAGAAGAGTCAAAATTTGCCACCTTGAGTAGTTTGTCCTGATATACAAATCTGTAGGGTTGGAAGGTCTGATATTATTTTATAAATTGGTGTTGGCATTGCATGTCATGTAAAAAGGCTTTTAGTTTATCTAGTTTTGTCAATTAAATATATGTTCACAATTAACAGCATTGCTCGTTATTTTGAAACAAGGATTCGGTAAGTTTAATTTTCTGAAACAGGGATCAAACTAGCATGGCCCCATTTTCGAAAATGCTCCTGTGCTCTTTATTTTTGCCACGCCGCCCCTGTTATATATTATCAAATTGTGGCTAAAATACCCCTGCTTCGTCTACTATATGCCCTATCATTAGCCATAGGCCTGTCATTTTTTTAACTTAAACATTTTTCATCTACAGCAGGCATCCAAACCCAGCTTTCACAACCTGAACAAGAACTGGCCGAAGACAAGGAATTGTTAGGAAATGCTGACCAAACAGATAATTGTCAACAAACAATTTCCACGCAGGAGACAGATAAAGGTTATTTAAGTGAAGAAAAGCCAGAGAGACTAGTTTTATCAGAGAAAACTTGTCAAAACTATGTAGGTGAAGCAACTTTCACAAGAGAAAATAGGCTGTCTCGTACCCAAAGTGAGTCAAATGCCTATAGTCACAGTAAAGAAAATGGAATGCAGGAAAGTTTAGGGAAGCAGACAGTAGACAAAAGTGTACTGCAAACTGAGGTTGTTCCAAGACAGGACACTGGAGCTTCAAAGGGATTCAAGGAAGGAAGTATGCTTGCTACTGAAACTTCTGGAAAAGTGCCTGGAAATGAAAAGAGATCCCAAAGTGAAAGCTTTTTGCTACTAGGAGATAATGGCATTTTAAGTAAAACAGATGATGTTGATGAAAAGTTAACTATTCATAGTAAACAAAGGCTGAATGATCAAGTAGAAACTAGGCATAAAGACCAGCTAGTGCCTAGAGAAAGCTCGACAAGTATGTTAGTTGGCTGTGCTCAAAATTCCACACCAATTTTCCAAGAGACTGAAGGGACATTTGAAAAGGACCCTTCGTTGAGTTGTATTGATAACGGTTTTAAATCGGACGAAGTAATTCAAGGTACGACGCATGGTTTTAAAACAGCAAAAACTGTGTCTTGTAGTCCTGACAAGTTGAAAGGGAGATGTACATCATATGTACTCACTCCCTATGCTATAAATTCGAAAGACTTAAATACCCAGATCAGCAATTCAAGGTTTGCATCTAAGATTGACCATTCACATGTCGTGTCAGAGCAACAGAAAGTGGCTTGTAAAGGAAGTCCAAGTGTAGACCTCCATGATGGAACTTCGAATGAAGATTCTTTGATATTGGAAGAGAAAGCGAAATCAGTGTTAAAAGAAATTAAAGCTGATGCCTGTAAAATAATTGGCCTTCATCGTATGCTAGCCCATCTTGAGAGACATTTTGTCGACGAGGACACGGAGAAAATCAAATGCACTGAGAGAACGAAAGGGCAAACGGCTGCTTGGGACGACCTAATCGATGTACTGAAGCGTTCTGACTTTAAGGCATTTTGTGACTATGTTGAGCAAATATTTGCTCCTGATTTTCCTTGCCCAGAAGAGTTTCGAAGTAAGCTGAAGTCAGTTTGCAAAAAATACGGACTTCAAAATATTTTTGAAGTAAATGGTTGCAGCAGTGGTAAGAATGAAAACTTTTTAACTACCTTTATCGTAAAAATACTTTTCCATTGATTCAGTTTGAAAGTCAGGTAGGAATTTTTTACATAACAAGAAACAGGAAGTTAAACGGTAGTTTGGCTTGAGTTAGAGTTTATTAACTTATAATTGCCAAAGCCAATTTTGCAACTTTTGTAGCTTTATAGCTGATAAGCTATTTTGTTGTTTTTTTATTGTATTTTGCATTATTTGTTAATGTTTATTACCAAATCATTGCCTTGAGAATTATTTATATTTGTATGCAACTTTCTCAGAGACGTTTATAGGCTTTTTAATTGTTTGAACACTCAGCATAGAGAGGTGGAGTCAATCATCACTTTATTTACCCTTAAACCTTCATTGATGTCTACCATTAATGCACAGCACTAGGAAGCTTTACCTTCAATATCAATACATTAAAACTGAAAAAAAGTTTGTATGCAACTTGTAATATGGTGTCTCCAAATTGTTTAAAGTTTTGATAATGTCATTGATTTGCTTTTTATGTTGGCCTTGCACCAGGAATGGTCCTTTATAAATGACTTTATAAATTCAGTTTTTTGGAGCATTGATCTGTACTATGAAGTAGAGTCAACTAACATACTTATGTAGCATTCTTTGGGGGCAAGTTCATTTTTGTGCTGGAGACCTGCAATCAAGAGGGTGAAGCACTTAAGAACAAGAAGAACATTTGACAAAACAATAGAAAATGGAGAAATGGGTTAAGTTCGCCCTCATAGTGCAGTTTCCTTAAACCATTCCTAGTTTTCTTTATTTCCCAGCACCAAATATAGAAGATATTCTACCATTTTTTGAAATAGTTAATACAAATCCGGATTTGCCTGTGCAAAATGAAGAAATGAAAAACAGGAGTTTTGGGAGTCCAAATCAATCTTTTGGGAGCTTTGAAAGTACTACAGATAGACCATGGAGTAGTATGGAAAGCAATGACGTTTTTGAGATTGAAAGCCCTTATCAAAATGGGGCAAAAGAAAAACGAAGATATTTCCGATTGTCAAGTAAAGGATCAAATGAAAGTAAAAGCAGCAGAATATCATCTGGGTCATTTGGAAGCAAAGGTAGCATTGATGAGCCTGGACAATTGAGTAAGTACAAGGACATTCACTTTATTGGTTTCATGTAATAAAACATAAAAAAGATGACAAGAAAATTATTTGCAAAAATTGATTGGTAATAATGATTTTAAATTTCGTGTGATAATTATCTTGTAAAATATTTTGACAAAGTTTGTAGTCATCCCTATTCTCTAGAGATCTCTAAATAAATTTACAATGAAAGGAAGTTATTTCAAATCAATGTGTCAAAGCAATGGTATTTAACCAAACAAAAAAATTTCATCTAGTAATTGAAAGATGAATAGAGTTTATTTATAGACATGTGTTAATTGAAAATTAATTAATTTAGTTTAAGGGCATACTTTTGGTTTTAAAGTATTTTAACATCAAAATACGGAGAATTCACATGTTTGAAAAATGTGAACCTTGACTTGTAAAAGGGGGGTGTTTCCTCATTTGTAAACGAAAATCATCCAAAGACCCCCTTTCCATCTTTTTTCCATCACTTGATCCGCAGCTTTCGAAACATTGCCCGACCGAAGTGTTTGGGGGCTGGTTCGTGGTTTAACACTTACATCGCAAAATGAGTTTTTCAAGTAAATGTTATTACACACGGAGCCCCCAGCTTCTTATCTACCAGCCTCCCCCTGTTTAATTCTCTTTTCTTTTTATTGATGGATTCTGATTATGGCATGCTGGTACTTTCGGCTTACTGCGTGTATAGATACTAATGTTAATAGATACTTATCAACGTGTTTAAGCAGTATTCCTCTAGCTTCGAAAATATATCAATCGTCAAAGTATCAAATTACTGGGACAGAAAGTGTTGGCCTAGAAATTGCTAGAGTCTTGTACCGTATAATTATCGATTTTATTCTGAATTATAACTGTACTTAATGTAAGCTTTTGTCTCCCTGCTTGTCGTTTGGATTGATCTCGAAATTTTTTCGAAGTTGATAATGGGTAGGGTTTTTCAATTTATTTCCCTTGTCTCAAATGTTTTATGCCTTGATAACAGGACCTACAAACCAGTTGCAGTTGCAACAGTTTATGTTTTCTCATTCCTTTAAAAAATATCTCCCCCCCCCTTTGTTGTAGAGTGCATGTATGTGAAGCACAAATGATAGAACTACTTATCTAAAATTGATTCGGGGAAAGGAGGGATTCGAATTTTACAGGGGTAATGTGAAGTAGAAAATTGCAAAAGCTGCATTTTGTCTTCACAGTTATTTTCGGGATTGTAGCATTTAACTCTTTTCTTGGAACCAGGCTTCTAGGGACTTAGAACCTGTCTATTTTCCCGGAATCAAACTTCCAGGAACCTGAACAATTTGAATGACATGTTTTTAATTGAGTTCCGTTTGTGGCTTGCCAATTGACCTCTTAAAACCCAACACATGCCGGCCCGCAGATTGGAAGTCCTTGATTCTTGGAAGTAGTGTCCCGATAAATGTTTCATTTTTAGTTAAAATTTGCTAAATTTTGCTGTGTTATTTTTGTAGATATATTCAAACACACAGCTAAGGGGTCCTACATGGAACTCTACCTCAATTGTTCTGCATCCCCAAGAATTTCACCCACATATGCTGTCTGCATTTTACGCGAGTTAAAACATTCCTCGTATTTATATGCTTACCACTAATTAGGAAAGTAAATGATCAGTTTTCTAACTAACAATTACGTGTTGTTCGTTTACATTCTTAGAATGACAAATTTTATAGAAAACCAGTTTTGTCCAAAATAGTTTATTTCTAACATTGTATAAGTTCTGGTCATTCTGCATTAAATTTAACTTTTACTTTTCGACAAGGGAGCGCGTGAGTAAAATGAACAAGCTCACAGATATTGAAAGCAATACAACAAAATAAAATAATATGGTGATGTCACACCCCAACACCCCCATCAGATACGCCCCTGGTAACTAATTAACAAAAATAACGCAAATCCTCAAACCTCAGCTTGGGGCTTTATTTTTTAGATCTTTTTTATCTCATAGGGGGATGGGCCAATTCGCGGATTTATGGATGGTTTCTGCCCCCTTTCGTAGAAGATCGCCGCTGCGCCAATGCCTGCGCAGTATCTCCTTGCATTACACGTGGGAAGAGCGTTCGTCGTGTTCCTAAACTCTAAGAAGAAACAGCAAAGACCATTGATATCTAAGAGTGAGTGAAACTCATTTTGGGTTTAGTTCCATGCCAACTGACGGCAAATATCTTTCATTAAAAGTTCATAAAATGTATTCGCCCTTTTTATCTAAAATGACAAAACCATTAGGACCGTATTGGCCGTCAGTTTTGCCGTAAAAAGGTGAAACCAATAACTTGCAGCAGTGAATGTTCAAAAAACATATTATAATTTTACGTAAATATTTGTTTTCATGTTTAGCTTCTAGTTCATTGCTCATGATCATCGAATGCTCAATTTTAGATTCTAGTTAGATTAAATATTTTGGAACTAAATTTTTTTGAATTGAACTAAAATTTAATGCGTCAATAAAAAAATTGTACTTTTTCCCAGTGTATGGTCAAGTTTATTGATATTTACAGGCCCACACCTTAGCTGGGGCATTGGAAAAGGTCATCAAAATTGTCAGGATGGCCACTCTGGTGTACCAGCGCTGTGAATTTTTGTCCAAACATGCCTAAAAGTGCAAAATTATTTTTAAAAAGTCAAAGAAAGGGGGAAATGCAGATAAGTGAAAAATAATCTTATCAGCCACAAAAGCTTATTGGGCTTGTAGAAAGCTAATATACGATATAGCCTTGTAGACTCGGGTTGTAGTCACATCAAATGTTGTTTGAAAAGCTATCACTGTGAGCAGAATGTGACTGTAATCATAGCTTCATTTAACAGTTTTACATATTTGGGTCTAAATTTCATGTGACTGTAAATGGTTTTGACTTTAAGCAGGAATGACTATCAGTGAAGTATACTATAATTGCAACCCTTAAAAAAATTGTCCACTGCCTAAATCCCTGGAACAAAGATATATACACAAAATTGGGATAGGAAGCTTGCATTTTTTTAGATACTGCCCAGTATGCAGAGCATGGTATCAGCTCCCTGGAGATGCAGACATGGTATTGTGAGGGCACACTTAGCATCTAGGTTTATACAAATTAGATCCAGGAAAATTGATAGTTCTGCCACACCTGACACTTTTGGACGATTTTGTTCACCTGCAGCATGATGTGACACTTTGTGACCCTAGATGACTTGCCAGGCCATGACATGTCCAGTGTGCATTCAGCTTTATGCCTTCAAATAGTTGAAAAGTCCAAGTGAAGGTGCACAAATGATTAGCTCTAGAGCTAAAGTGATTCTAACTTGACAAGATTAAATAAGCCATTGATGTATTTTTATTTCATGCACTAAAAATATTGAATTAGTGAATTTTAACAATTGCAAATAGCCTTACTTCCCTTAAGAAGATATTAGGTTTTTCCCAGGTAGGTTTTTTTGGCAAAAGAACTTATAAAAGAAGGAGGATTGGAGGAGTGGGATGAAATGAAAGGAATCTTTAATTACATTTTTAGACTTGAAGATGTTACAGGCAGGAAATGGTTGTGATGAGCATTGTGATATGGATACAAAATATAAAGACAAAGTTACAGTTTTGAAGACCAGAGCAGTAAACTATCTGCTTACAAAATTAAGAGACAAAGAGACCTGTGCCAAAGATTTCATGATTCATGGTGACAGGCTTATGCGCATCTTGGCAGAGGAGGCCCTTGCCAGCTTACCAAATGTTGGCTATGGCACAGTAGATACACCATGTGGAAAAAGTAAGGGTTTGGTCAAAAAGGGGGAGCTGAAGCTTTGTGTTGTCTCCATTCCAAGGTCTGGTGATATTCTTCAAGAAGCTGTAAGACAAATAAAACCTGGGGTGAGAATTGGGAAGATACTAATACAGCGAGATGAGTCTACTAAAGATAAAAGGCCTATATTGTATTACAAGAAATTACCGAGGGATATTTCTGAATGTTTTGTCATTCTGGTTGATCCAATGTTGGCTACTGCTGGCAGTGCCAAACGTGCTATTGCAGTTCTAATTGAGGCTGGAGTGAAAGAGGAATGCATTATGTTTCTTAATCTTGTCTGTTGTCCTGAAGGAATAAAAAATCTTTTTTGTGCATATCCAAATGTTTCAGTCATGACAGGTGCTATTGACAAATGCTTGAATGAACACATGTTCATAGTACCAGGATTAGGTGATTATGGAGATAGGTATTATGGTACTGTTTAGCCAAGAGTAATATTTTTCTAAGAGAGATCAATAACTGTAGCTTGTAACAACAATTTGTAAAAAAATTGATCTATATTTTGGAACTTTTTATTTTCGTACAAATCAGCACACAGCCCATATAGTGAGATTTTAGTGTTCATCGGAACATCGATCGATGATTGACTAAAATGTCCATTAAACGACAAACGTGCTGTTTCAACCAGTGCGATCTTATTTAACGTGCAGAGGACACGGGGCCAGAGAGATGCAAACTGTTTGTGCAGTGTGTAACGTGATTTCCACTGACTGACTATAATTTACAAAAGTGCGTATTGATATAGAAAACTGGCAAACTTAATTAAGAGTTATACAAAGGAAAGGATATGCTCGATGGTTAACAATGGTGTGATAGATTAGGTTAAAATGACGTGTAATTAACATAGATAATGATGAATATAGAATTACGTAGGTATGCAGAAGAAGCAATGATGGATTGTATAAAATGGCCTAAATTGAATCACTACAATAGCCCCCTCCCTAGAATGCAAGCGAGTGTGAAGCATTCGATACGTAGGGAGAAAAGCGAGAAAAAAAATGCAATGACGAGAACGAATTAAGTTTAAGAGTTCGAAATTAAATGTTCATTTTTGGTTGTGCGTGTTACTTGCCAGCTCTTGTGGTGTGAATTGACATCTTGCAGAATGTGCGCGGAGAGTGGTGCTTGCGGTGCCGAAGTTTTTTTTTTTTTTTCTTGGCGTGGGTTGACCAGCCTGCGATGGATTGGAGGCGTGTGTGTGAGCAAAGAACGAATGCCATGTTGCTGCCTGCTGTAGCTGTGTGAGGCGTGTGAGACAATGTCCGATGCTGTTTGCTGCCTTGATGCGAATGGTGTAGCGTAGCACTACGGTGAGTCGAGCGCTGCTGTGTTCGCTTGTTGCGAGTTGGCACTACGGTGATTCGAGTTCTGCTTGATGATGGTGCATGTGCATTGTGGTGCGTTGAAAACAGCGTCGTAGAATGTGCGTGTCGAAGCAACCGCGGTCACGTCGTGGTAACCAATTTAGTGTTCATCGGAACATCGATCGATGATTGACTAAAATGTCCATTAAACGACAAACGTGCTGTTTCAACCAGTGCGATCTTATTTAACGTGCAGAGGACACGGGGCCAGAGAGATGCAAACTGTTTGTGCAGTGTGTAACGTGATTTCCACTGACTGACTATAATTTACAAAAGTGCGTATTGATATAGAAAACTGGCAAACTTAATTAAGAGTTATACAAAGGAAAGGATATGCTCGATGGTTAACAATGGCGTGATAGATTAGGTTAAAATGACGTGTAATTAACATAGATAATGATGAATATAGAATTACGTAGATGCAGAAGAAGCAATGATGGATTGTATAAAATGGCCTTAATTGAATCACTACAATAGCCCCCTCCCTAGAATGCAAGCGAGTGTGAAGCATTCGATACGTAGGGAGAAAAGCGAGAAAAAAAATGCAATGACGAGAACGAATTAAGTTTAAGAGTTCGAAATTAAATGTTCATTTTTGGTTGTGCGTGTTACTTGCCAGCTCTTGTGGTGTGGAATTGACATCTTGCAGAATGTGCGCGGAGAGTGGTGCTTGCGGTGCCGAAGTTTTTTTTTTTTTTCTTGGCGTGGGTTGACCAGCCTGCGATGGATTGGAGGCGTGTGTGTGAGCAAAGAACGAATGCCATGTTGCTGCCTGCTGTAGCTGTGTGAGGCGTGTGAGACAATGTCCGATGCTGTTTGCTGCCTTGATGCGAATGGTGTAGCGTAGCACTACGGTGAGTCGAGCGCTGCTGTGTTCGCTTTGTTGCGAGTTGGCACTACGGGATTCGAGTTCTGCTTGATGATGGTGCATGTGCATTGTGGTGCGTTGAAAACAGCGTCGTAGAATGGCGTGTCGAAGCAACCGCGGTCACGTCGTGGTAACCAATTTAGTGTTCATCGGAACATCGATCGATGATTGACTAAAATGTCCATTAAACGACAAACGTGCTGTTTCAACCAGTGCGATCTTATTTAACGTGCAGAGGACACGGGGCCAGAGAGATGCAAACTGTTTGTGCAGTGTGTAACGTGATTTCCACTGACTGACTATAATTTACAAAAGTGCGTATTGATATAGAAAACTGGCAAACTTAATTAAGAGTTATACAAAGGAAAGGATATGCTCGATGGTTAACAATGGTGTGATAGATTAGGTTAAAATGACGTGTAATTAACATAGATAATGATGAATATAGAATTACGTAGGTATGCAGAAGAAGCAATGATGGATTGTATAAAATGGCCTTAATTGAATCACTACAAGATTTTATGTACAATGGACATTGTAATTATATCATTTAAATCTTTGTTTAACATTAAATGAAATGACCACATAGCACAAGGCTCTTCCAGTTTATTTCTACAAAAATGTTCAATCACAGCCTGTTTAGTATGTATAAATTATCTCCATTTTTTGTTATCCAACCTTTACAGTTAACTAATTTTGATATCCAAAAGAATGCTCTGCCTTTTAGTTCGAAAACTGGATACTTACAAGTCAGTATCATTTATCTTATGATAATAAAAGACCAATTGGGGTCCACAAATTATTTTAATATCTGTGTCTTTTAGAATTCGCTCAAACTCACCTCATTTTCAAATTATTCCAGTTTAAGCTTCTAAAGTTCATGGCTCCTAATTAACATGATAAATTTTCATTTTTACGATTTGCTTTGTCTCATGCTCTAAATGCTTGGAAAGGACTTTTTGTTGTCTTTAATTAGTTTGCCTGCCTCAGTATTTTCCTCATGGTCCCAGATGCCTCTGTTACTCTCTCCTTCTCCACTTGTTTTGGGACAATTGTGCCTCTTCCCTTTTTGTTTTCATTAGTTTTTTGGTGTGTTTTCAAATTAAGTAAGACCACATTTTAGTGTGCTTTCTGCAAAAATCTAAAAAAACTCATAGGGGATCAAAGAAAAATGCCATCAGACGATATCAATATGGTAATGATCCATAGTTTCTTTCTTGTAATGTGAAAATTTGTCTACTTTTAAGAAAAGTAAAGAATCTTTCACATAGTCATTTAATTTCAAATTAAAGGCTTTGTACAATTTCTAATAACCATCAACCTGATATGCAATTAAACCTTGATTTCGGTATAAAAGTATACCATTAAATGTAGGTAATAGAGCCTTACTCCGAAACATGGGTGCATAGTACGATCGTTTCTTTACACAAAAAGATGATAAGATATAAACGAGTTAAAGATTCCATTCGATATAGCAAACTGCAGTTCTTTCATTTTTTATGATGTTGAAAAATTTACTTCTACATGAACCAGTGCTTCTCCTCTATAATTTGTAGAGAAAAAAGGAAAATGCTTGTGTGGAATAGTAAAATAATTTTCGTTTAACGATGCTAAATTCATAAGTTTACTTTTAAGAGTTAAGCTTTGATAGAATCCAACATGTTTTAATAGAAGACTGGAAGACTATAGCCTTGACAATCAAATGAATATCTTGTTGGTGCAGTCTTAATAGATCTTTCGAAAACTTTCGATTGTATCCCAAATGATTTGCTTATCACTAAACTACATGCGTATGGAGTTAATGAAGATGCTCTAGTTTTTCCTAATTTATTACTATCTCAAAAGACGAAAACGGTGTGTTCGGATAAACAATTTATACAGCTCTTTTCAAGAGGTTATGTCTAGTCTACCCCAGGGCTCTGTGCTAGGACCAGTCCTGTTAAATTTAAACATAAATGACATTTCTATTCATAAAACAAGCAACGCTCTATAATTATGTAGACGCCAATGCACATGCTTTTTTTCTAAAAACATGCGCGATCTTGTAGATACCTAGCAAAATCTATCAAAATGAAAAAACATGCATAAGAATAGGAAATGAACAAACTGATTTCTATGATGTCAATTCTGGAATCAAACAAGGTTGCTTTCTCACTCCAACGCTATTTAATTTATTCATTAGTGACACTTGGTCTGAGTAATTTTCGCCCGACAGAGTAACGGATAATGACCGAAGGTGAAGGATCGAGGGAAACGTGAGAGGAAGCAAGACGAGTTTGTTTGTGGATTTGATTTTCTTTTTACCCTTTCAGCGATAGCCTGCAGCATTTGTGAACAGGGACACAGGCTAGGGGGAGGTGTTTATTAGGCACCTAAGACTACAAACTATCCTGCTAGATGGGTGATAAAAATGTTACAGGCTAGCAGTAGTTTATGTTATGGTTTATAGCAAGATCAAATAAAGAACCTCTATGCTTTTGTAATTAATTGCATTTGACATTTGGGCCATTTTTTATTTTCATGTATTTATATATTGATTGATTTTTTCATTTTTATACTGGGAAGAATTGTTCTTTCATATTCTAGTTCTTATCTTGTTTATAGTAATGAATTGGCTTGTTCTGTATTCAAACATTTTTCAAAAGTTGCGAACGGTCATATTTTCAAAGCATTATGCTTTGCTTTGCTTTAAATAACAATGCAAAACTTTTTGAAACGATACTTTTTAGGGACTTTAGTAGAGGATTTGGGTATTCATTCTTCTAAAAACTCTGATTCCGGCGTGAAACTAAATTTTCATAGAATTTCTATAAGAATTTCCTGGATTTGTGTTTCTCTAATCTCTAATGGACCATTCAACTAGGTGAGAGATTGCCCGCTTTTTTTGAGTTCCCTTCCTACTTTTCACTGTTCAGCGCCCTGACGAAGGAGCATAACAGGCAGTAAGATTTTGGAAAATGCAGAGAAACTACAGGGAAAGAGTTTCATAGATTGGAATTTATTCCCATTTTCAAGTTAGCTTGCTTCTTTAAACACTCTTATCTAAGGATTTTTCCAGGTATGTTAAGTACATCTGTGAGTTCCCTCCTTGATAGTATCAGAATGATTTTAGCAAGTCACATAATGGACTTGGCTTCTTCTTAGGCCGAGATATAGGTAATTAATGACATTCTTCATTTAGATCCTGCTTTTCTGATTGATAGAATGCTTCTGTAACCAGACACAAGATTTTATTTCCATGGACGAATTATCTTCCTTGCGGTTAACAGAACTGGCTGTTCAGGGGGAGGGGTCCACGGTCATCTGGAATCTATCGTAATCTGGGCCAAATTTTATATAATTATAAAGGGAAATAATATATCATACTTAATGTTCTCAAATAGTAGTTTTTAGTATTTTCTGCCCTAACCCTAGCACACGTGCCTATTAAACACATAATGAGACAGGAATTAATACTGGCAATTAATGCTGGCCATTTCCAAAATGTACTGAAAACGTTACGAAAAATTGTTATGTTCTTGGTTTTTAGAATGTTAAGCACCCCCCCCCCTCCAAAAAAAACTTCTAAGCCCCTTCAATCTGTAATATGATCTGCGGTCCTTGATTAACAGCCCAGTTCTGTTAACTAGAAAAAACATAATTTCTGATGATCTGTTAAGATGGTCCACCAAGGTGAACCTTCCACTAGAATTTAAGCCAATATTAGATAATGTCCCGATTGTAAGCAGTGCCAAGAATGGTTCATGGTCTCCTTAATTCCTCTAAAATGGATCATAGTTTATTTATAATATGTGGGTATGTGTATTAATATGAGCATTAACATCTGTAACTTTATAGTATTATCAGCAATGGGTTATCTCATACACCAGGACAGGCCTTCCCTTAATTCCCAACAGTCCTCTATTCCTCTGATTTTGTTCTGACTTTCTTTTACCGTATTGTTTCTTTGGTGTGCCTTTATTCTTTGTTTATCTCTTTAGGTTGTTTTTCCTTGTGTCTTCTCTCGCATCCTGATTGCCCCTCTAGCGTACTGCTTTATCAAATAATTTATGATCCCCTTTGTTTAATCTTTCCGTATAGTTGCTTTTTTGCCCGTAATTATATACTGAAGATGACTCTAGCTAGAGTCAAAACGTTTAATTTAATATAATCAACTTGTCTATTTGATGGTACAACAAAGAATTGTCTAAAACCAGATTCATCTACTTATCGGATTGTCATGATGTAACAAGAAGCTGTAGAATGTTTAAAGCATTGTGTCTTTTTTCTTTGTTGTGGTACTTATTATTAATTTGGTTATCAACAACTAGTCAAGTTTGTTAAAGTTTTGTTTATAGTTAAAAACCTTTACATCACTTGTATTTCTGTTTCTGATGTCTAGCTTTTTTACACCCCCTTTACACATTTCTAGATCCCCTACCAAACCATGCAATTTCTCTAGTATAATGGCAGGAAACACAGAAAAGGGGCGCCCTGAAACACCAATCAGTATAAGTGCAACTTCAAGTTCATCAGAGGAGGATTCTGTTATAATCAATGAAGGCTATTATCAAATTCTTCATCAGCCAGCACACAAGCAAGTGTCCAGGAGCAACTCTTCTCAGCTGCCAAGCATAGACCCATTTATTCTTACAGAATTAGAGGAGCAAGCAACTTGTGCAGCAAAAAGTTTAGCATGGATGACAAATTACCTTGTACACAAACTTTCTGAAATGTCTGTCACAACAAAGCAGACAGCTCAAACATACAGTGAAGCTGTGCAAAAAGCAAGTGGCCAAGCAGATGATAATATCAGAATGATGTATGGATTGATGGCAAAATGTGAGGAATTGAATAGAAAAATGAAACCAGTATATGAAATTCAGAGCCAGGTTGAAATAATAAAAAAGAAACTTGATATTCTTGAATCCATTTGTAAATAGTGTTTCAAAGAAAAATTTCTGTCGTATTTTGGTAGTTTTTGGTTCAGTATGTATGGTAATAAATCTTCGATTTCATAAATGAATCTCCAATTTTCTTAATCTCAGTACTACAGTGAAGGTATTTGTATTTGTATTTGTATTTGTTGCTACCTAGCATCCGAAGGTAGTTTTTAGGACACTGAGAAGCTTATGCTTATTGAGCAGTGTCCTGGTCCTTCCTCTCGCTGTGAGCACACCTCGTGATTCCCATGCCTGGAAGGAAAGACTGCATGCTGTCTTCCTAAGACATCTTTTTTCCAAGTAGCATGAAACCTGATTCTTACAATTTTTTTCCATATTTGTTATGTCTTTTTCCATTGAAAGTTTGCATAAGCTGAACAACTAATCTACATTACCCCTTGGATAAGCAATAAAAACAGATTGGCCAGATTTTAAACTAAATGCTAAAATAAACACATGATTTCATTTTATTGTTTAATTCCAAAAATGTTTAGAGCTTTAATTTTATTTCATATATTCTAACCTGTAATCAATGATTAGATCCTATTAAAGAAAGGTAAAGACAGAGATACTAGATTTAGTTCAGTTCATTTTAAAACTACTACTTCATGCAAAACATCTTTTCAAGTATTAGAATAACAAAAAATGGCAAAGTGTCTATAAAAATTTATCCACAGGAGTGAACTTTTAATGAAGTATTGCTGTTATTGTATTTTATAATGACTCTGACCATTAGTATTGATGCCAAGAGTTTTGGCCCTATGCCTTAGTCACTCAAGAATAGAACGAAAATAAAATAAAATGCTGTTACAATTTGATAATCATATGTTTATGTAATTTGCATTTGATATTTTGGTCATATTTTTTATTTTTTACGTATTTATATATTGATTAATTTCTACATATCTATACTAGGAGAAAATTGTTATTTAATGTGCTGGGACATTATTTTAGAAAGGAAGATAAGAGACTTCTAAAGTTGGTTTTGAGCACATTGTGAGACCTTTTAAAACCCTCTTCCCATATTCCAACCCCCTTTTTTCTTTTAGGATAACAACTCGATTTTTTTAATTATTTAAATGGATATTGTTTCATTAAAGTTAAACTTTTTCCATACCCTGCAACTTTGGCAATACAGCGCACAACATCACATGCATTTTTTAAGAACGCACAATAAGAACACCAAGGCTGCAGGTTGGAAATTAGAATGATGTGTTTTCGAATATGTTCCATCCATTCAATATACCATAAAGTGCATGAGATTGAATAAATGAGTTTTATATCATTCTTAAAGTATTTTTGGGGACAAAATATCTTCGTTTATAAAAAATCCCAGTATCTTCAGATATCTCAATGTTCACTTGTTTTATATGTTGTTTTCAATTTAACTTTTCATCTATTTTAATTCCAAGATATTTTTTATAATTTCTTGTTTAAGTTTTTTATTTTTTACAATGATATTTATTGTTTACTAGTTTTTTGAACTAATAATCAGAAAGTTCGATTTAGAAATGTTTAGTGATAGCTTATTGGCTAATAACCACTCATTTATTTTGCCATTTGAGAGTTTACAAGTCTTTCAATAAATTCAATAAACAGATTTTTATAAGCGAATAAAATACTGGTGTCATCAGCAAATAAACAAAAGTCTAGTTCTTTCTTGAAAATCATTTTGATTTTTTGTATGTTATATCATTTATTCCTAAAGATCTTATCAAACAACAATTCGTCTATTTTTCAAGAATTTTACTAAAAATAGGAAGAATCGAAAATAGAACTATAATTTCCACATTCCAATTTTCATTTACTTTATGAATAGGTGTAACTTTTAGAAAAAGTTTCAAAAGATATAGTGTAGCGAGCTACACTCTTTTTCTATAAGAACAATTTTATAAGAACACGAACCCCAAAATTGGTCAAAAGTTAAGAACAAATTAAGAACAAGCTGAAGCTGAGCATCTGCAAAATGCAATTTTGAACAATGTTTTTTTCTCAAAATCGAGGATTTTCAGCGATGTATGGGTGCCTTTTCGTCGAATATTCAAACTTTTTGGCAAATAAAAGTTGTCTCACTCACTTTGTTGGCAAATGAGGCCTGAACACCTCCCTAGAGCGAAAAAGCTAGCACTCGCACTGCTTACACCCTATTAAATTAAGAACAAATTAAGAACAATCCAGCCTCAGATTTTCGAAAAAATTAAGAACAGTCAGCCTGAATTTAAATTTACTGGTTCCTTATAAAAAAGAGAGTGTAGTTTAATGAGCCTTGTAGGAGCATTGTAAGAATCATTTGATTTCCTTTCGTCCAGATTATATCGTTGACCTCTTCTGGGGTCACTGGATCTAGAAAAATACTATTCGAATTTGCTAAAAAGTCTTTTGTAGACGGTTTCATTTTTATTTCTTTTTGTGCAACTGAAGAAAAGTACTGATTGAATGAATTAGCAGCAATCTTGCTATCAGAAACAAAATCCTAGGAAGAATGTTATCTCGATTCTTCGATCGTTAGGAATAAAACCAGACTCTCTCATTTTAACTAGCTTTCTTATTGCGAGATAACTATTTATAAATTTGCTGAAACTATGGCAGAAACTAAGTTAGGACCGCATCACAATATGCACGAAACCAGCACTCTAATTGTAAACAAATCTTTATTGTGCTGTTGACGGGGGTTTTATTTTATGCCAGTCCTTGAACAACATTTCGTTTTAAAACAGCACTCGATGAGACATCTTTGAAGTTTATAAAGCTAACTTTTTTAAATGGTGCGCTGCAGTACTCCCAGCTTGTTTTAAAGGAGTTGGCAACTTTTATTCTTTTGCATTATCGATTTAAATCGAAAATTGTGTTATGGATACTGATTATTAACCCCCTGGTTGATTGTGGAATTCGCAGAAAAATCTGGTGAAAAGGATACGTCAGGCATCAAATCGTTTCATCGAGAGTAAGAGTTGTGAAAGCCCATAAAGTTCCCAGAAATTTGCGGTAAGAGCCTTGTTAAAGTTGAAAACATCTTACATTGTTCAATCATTTGAAGTTTTTAACGCCGGGACAACATCTAAAGTGTCTTATTGCGAAGTATAGCAGATAAACGAAAGGTATAAAGATTTGTTGCTGGTTGACAAAAATTTGGAACAAGCATCTCTGCAGGATCTCTTTCAAACAGCCTGTCAAACCTTGGATGAGATGATTTGGAGTGTCGTAGATATGACTCTGTCAGAGAAAGCGAAATCAGTGTTAAAAGAAATTAAAGCTGATGCCTGTAAAATAAATGGCCTTCGTCGTATGCTAGCCCATCTTGAGAGACATTTTGTCGACGAGGACACGGAGAAAATCAAATGCACTGAGAGAACGAAAGGGCAAACGGCTGCTTGGGACGACCTAATCGATGTACTGAAGCGTTCTGACTTTAAGGCATTTTGTGACTATGTTGAGCAAATATTTGCTCCTGATTTTCGTTGCCCAGAAGAATTTCGAAGTAAGCTGAAATCAGTTTGCAAAAAATACGGACTTCAAAATATTTTTGAAGTAAATGATTGCAGCAGTGGTAAGAATGAAAACTTTTTAACTACCTTTATCGTAAAAATACTTTTCCATTGATTCAGTTTGAAAGTCAGGTAGGAATTTTTTATATAACAAGAAACAGGAAGTTAAACGGTAGTTTGGCTTGAGTTAGAGTTTATTAACTTATAGTTGCCAAAGCCAATTTTGCAACTTTTGTAGCTTTATGGCTGATAAGCTATTTTGTTGTTTTTTTATTGTATTTTGCATTATTTTTTAATGTTTATTACCAAATCATTGCCTTGGGAATTATTTATATTTGTATGCAACTTTCTCAGAGACGTTTATAGGCTTTTTAATTGTTTGAACACTCAGCATAGAGAGGTGGAGTCAATCATCACTTTATTTACCCTTAAACCTTCATTAATGTCTACCATTAATACACAGCACTAGGAAGCTTTACCTTCAATATCAATACATTAAAACTGAAAAAAAGTTTGTATGCAACTTGTAATATGGTGTCTCCAAATTGTTTAAAGTTTTGATAATGTTATTGATTTGCTTTTTATGTTGGCCTTGCACCAGGAATGGTCCTTTATAAATGACTTTATAAATTCAGTTTTTTGGAGCATTGATCTGTACTATGAAGTAGAGTCAACTAACATACTTATGTAGCATTCTTTGGGGGCAAGTTCATTTTTGTGCTGGAGACCTGCAATCAAGAGGGTGAAGCACTTAAGAACAAGAAGAACATTTGACAAAACAATAGAAAATGGAGAAATGGGTTAAGTTCGCCCTCATAGTGCAGTTTCCTTAAACCATTCCTAGTTTTCTGTATTTCCCAGCACCAAATATAGAAGATATTCTACCATTTTTTGAAATAGTTAATACAAATCCGGATTTGCCTGTGCAAAATGAAGAAATGAAAAGCAGGAGTTTTGGGAGTCCAAATCAATCTTTTGGGAGCTTTGAAAGTACTACAGATAGACCATGGAGTAGTATGGAAAGCAATGACGTTTTTGAGATTGAAAGCCCTTATCAAAATGGGGCAAAAGAAAAACGAAGATATTTCCGATTGTCAAGTAAAGGATCAAATGAAAGTAAAAGCAGCAGAATATCATCTGGGTCATTTGGAAGCAAAGGTAGCATTGATGAGCCTGGACAATTGAGTAAGTACAAGGACATTCACTTTATTGGTTTCATGTAATAAAACATAAAAAAGATGACAAGAAAATTATTTGCAAAAATTGATTGGTAATAATGATTTTAAATTTCGTGTGATAATTATCTTGTAAAATATTATGACAAAGTTTGTAGTCATCCCTATTCTCTAGAGATCTCTAAATAAATTTACAATGAAAGGAAGTTATTTCAAATCAATGTGTCAAAGCAATGGTATTTAACCAAACAAAAAAGTTTCATCTAGTAATTGAAAGATGAATAGAGGCGAACCTAGAAACAAACATATCCCCAAATTACTCATCTGCCAAAGATGTCAT